ATCTTTGATCTTGGACGCTAGTCCTAGCTCTTTGTCTGCCTTAGCTTTCCTAACAGCCCCCCTACAAGCCTGAGCAGTGGAGGTATACTCCTCTTTGGAGCTAGGCCCCCCTTTCCACCGGGTGTACGCTGCCTTTTTGGCAACCAGGCATTCCCAGACGTCCTTGGTGAGCCAGGGAGGCTTTTGGGCACTCTTGCCTCCCTTGCTTCTTGTTGGGATCGTCTCCCCTTGGGCCCTGAGTATCTTCTCCTTAAGAAACGACCACTCATCTTGGGCACTGAGTTCCCCTGCCCTCAAGAACCCCAGCGCCTCTCCCACCAATCTCCTCAACTCGTTGAAGTTGGCCCTCTTGAAGTCTAGGGCTACCGCCTTGCTGCAGGCCCTTGTCACCCTGCGCTGGATGATGAATTCCAGCAAGCGATGATCGCTGTCACCCAGGTGGTCAAGGACCTGGAGCCCCCATACCAGATCATCGCCTGTGGCCAGGACCAGGTCCAATAGGGCATTTCCTCTGGTGGGACTGTGCACCTCCTGCGTTAAGTGGAGGTCCTGTATCTTGGCCAGGAACCTCCTGGAATGGTCCGACCTGGCTGACTGCTCCTCCCAGCAGATGTCCGGGTGATTTAGATCACCCATGACAACTACATCCCTTGCCTTAAGTGCCTCTGCAAGCTGGCCCGAAAATTCCCAGTCCAGCTCCTCCCCTTGCAATTTTAATTGCAAACCTGTTTGAATTGCTAGAACCAGTAGTATATGTATATTTCTATACATTTGCTTTATCCAAGAGATTACTAGATCTACACATATATATTATTTTTGTATATATGAAGTAAAGTGTGCAAAGCATTGGTGAGACCAAATCTGGAATATTGTGTACAGTTCTGGTCGCCCATGGGTAAGAAAAATGAACTGAAACATACAGAAAAGGATTAGGAGGATGACTGAGGGACTGGAGAGCCTGTATTACAATATGAGACAAAGAGCTTCACTTACTTATCCTAGTGAAAAGGAAAGTGAGAGGGGACTGCTGTCTATAAATACATAAGGGCAAAGGAGCTACTTAAACAAAAGGAAAATGATGGAACATGTTTAAATAAGTTTGAACTGCCCTGAATACTAGGTTGGAAATTAGAAGCGGGTTGCTGACCATGAGGACAGCGAGGTACTGGAACAGCTTTCCAATTGGAGTAGTAGAGGAGTCAAACAACATAACTGCATAAAATGGAATTCAGTCAGTTTATGAATTGGATTTTTCTGCTCCCTCTTGGAGGTAGCAGTGTAGGAAGCAGCAGCTAAAAAGAAGCAGGCAGCAATGACTTAGCACTACGTCATGTCATACAGTACTGCTGGTAAGCAAGAGTTGACAGCTGTGGCAGCCAAGGTCCGGTTGCACTGCCCTGGAGTTAGCTCTATCCCTAGTAGTTACTTTTGGCAGGGTAGGGCTGCTTTTTCGTCTCTGATATGTTTACTTTTGGTCCCAGTTTTCAGAGTACTGTGTGCTCTTTTTAGTGAGCATTTGATGATAGCAGTTCATTGCATGTATTTGAAGAGCATAGCTCTTCTGTAATTATTTTCCTTGACTAGCTTCTGATGAAAGTCCTTCACAAAGTAGTGGGGTTTTTTTACATTATGTTTTGCTTCTATTATTATTTATATTTTCTAAGATACTGTGAAGCTTTTTGAGGAGATACAGATCTTACAAAGAGCACACATGGAACTCAAGTGAGGGTCATAAAAAGTCTCTAGGGGCATTTATACACATGCTCTGGGGGGGGAGGTGCTTTAATTAGAGCGGCTCCAAGAGCTTCCCTAAGTAAAGCATGTAGAGTGTCACGTGTATCAGCATCCTCGCACTGAAAAATGGCAACAGGGGCACTTTAACTAAAACTCGTTGAACAAGCTTTAGTTAAAGTGCCCCTGCCTCCATTTTTCAGCACAAGGACGCTGATACACGCAATGCTGGAGTCTGCATGGTAAGTACTATGCTCCAGCAGACTCAATTAATCAAGTCTGCTCTGACACACCATAATTAAAGTGTGTTGGAGCAACCTCACTGCACATGTATAGGTGCCCAAAGTTCCTAACTGTTGGTTGAAAGAAAAAAAAAAAAGGAGGGACATGCTCCTTTTCCTGATCTTTTTTCTGAGTATTTTCTGAGAATTTACTTAGATTTCAGTAACTTTTCTTGGAAGAGAATGATAAATTGCCCCCCTGGAATTTTAAGAAACCTAAATGTATCCAAGCAGTACTGAGTTAAAATAAGTCTGACTAAAAGAATAAAGTGGATTTTATTTATTATACTGAATGCTTGGTTACTAAACTGAGTTAGACTTCTGTCAGGAAGCTTCTGAACAGAGGACAGTCCAAACAAAACACACTATGAATATATTGGCTTTTATCAGCAACAGCTAGCTCTTTCAGGAGCTTTCAAGTAACTTCTTTCACGTTCCCAAGATTTTCAAAAATGACAAGTGATTTTTTTTTTTTTGACTGCTTAACTTCTGTTGTTTTATAGGAACCTGGTTTCTAAAAAAACACCGAGGGCTTCCCTTTTAAAAATCTGGCTACTAAAATGGATTTTTAATTAAGTACCTCAAATCATTAATTATTTTTTAAAGTCCTGACCTCTGACCATACATAAGCAAATTAATATTCTTTGTAACAACAGGCAACAGTTAGATCCAGCAGCACAATACAAAATGAACCACAAGAGAAGAGGTCTTGCTTTGATCTTCAATCACGAACGTTTCAACTGGCATTTAACGCTGCCAGATAGACGTGGGACATTTGCAGACAAAGAGAATCTGAAGCGCAGGTAAGATATTTGATTGCTGTAAAAAAGAGTTTTTATTTAAAACAAGAAATAAAAGAATCTAAATTTGAAATGATATGGCAGGCCAGGTTATATCAGCAGGTCTAGAATAAATCATTTTGTAGATACAGTTGCCATATAAAAGTTCTTGCCCAGGATAGCTCATGATTAAGAGGGTTAAGGGCTTGCTTCCATTGAAGGTATAGGCAGAACTCCTATTGAAACCATGGAACTAGGATCAGACCCTCCAACAACAGGCTGAGGTATAGGCAGCCATAAGTAGGGAGGGGAGGACTTGATGTGGAGGTCTCATTTGCATTTCATTTTATAGTTTAACCCAATTAGAAAAATAATAGCAGTATCTTAAGGGGAAAAATTAAAACCTGCATTATCAGTACTTAATCTGGAAAGATGAAGGAACTTGACTGTAAAATCACAGACTGGAAGAGAGGCCTAAAGGCAGGCATAATACTGCTTGGCAACAGTACTTCAGTACATTCTAGCCAAGCTGGCTGCATACATGTCTTATCTCAGCAGCACAGCTCTGAATAGGCAATAGTAATAACTTTGCAGCTTATGGACAGAGACTTAGGAAATAAGTTAGCCTTACACATTCCTGCATCTCTTAGAGAACCACAGTAAGTGTAAACTAGAAACCAGGATGTGGTGGTAACAAGCTCCTATAGCAGGGGCATTGTTTGTGGTTCAGCATAGCAGTCTAATTAGATATTTTTTTTCACATCCTGTAGATACTTTTTCAAAGTTTTGTGACATTAAGTGATAATCCAGACTGGAAGGTACACCCGCTTTAAAGTCACTGACAGCATTATCGAATATAGTAGCGAGACTGTCGTGTGCCTCAGAAGAAGTGATAGCAAACCCTCTAGCCCGTCTGCAGTGAGTGCAGTTCCATAACAAACTCTGTTTTATCCAGTAGGAGCAAGCAATGCACTGTACTTACTTAAAGCAAATAAATGCATAAATCGCTTAGCCACATAATGCCAGTCCCAATGTGTTGCCTACTGCTTACATTATAATAAACAAGGGTTATCACTATGTGTTAAATACATCAACTGCTTAAGTGCATAGTATCTTTCAGTTCCACTGAGTACCCGTTAGGTTAATTGCACACCATTTAATTAAATGCTACTAACTATAACTGCCTATTTTATACCTAACTCCTTATTACCTGGGCCAGAAGCCATGAAGGAAAAGCACCTGTCAAGCAATCATAAAACTGACTATAGGCCTTCATTTTCAAAGCTTCCAATAGTAGCCTTAAAGCTGATCATTTGAAGCCTCAAAAATACAGGGGAATTAGTTGTTTCTAAGGTTGCTAGTATCACAGCGCTGAATGTGTCCATGAGCATTGTCTTACCCAAAGTTAAAAGTAAGCACACAACCTTCTTTCAGTCCTGTAGCTATGCATTTAAATCAGGGACAGGCAAAGTCCAGGCCATGGGCCAGCTGAGGCCCATGGCACACTGTTTCTCAACAACCCCTGTCCATGTTACTGTGGCTGGTTTCCATGGAGACTGCAGCAGCAGCGCTGTGACAGCGCGGGGCCTAGGTTTCTATGGAGACTAGCCCCAGCAGCACTGACAGGGTGCGCAGCTGGGCAGGGAGCTGCGATCTTGTGGGGGTGACAGCAGCGGTGACAGCCCAACAGCTCCCTGCCAGCGCTGCTGGGGCCTGTCTCCATGGAAACCCTGGCCCTTCACTGCTGGGGTCTCCATAGAAACCAGCCTCAGCAACGCGGGCAGGGGCTGCTGGGAAATGGAGTTCGGCTGCTGGGTAGATCTACCATTTTGCCCATCCCTGATTTAAATAGAGCATGCTGTCAAAAGGGGAACAGCTAGGGTGGCCATCATACAGGACAGTCGGGTTGTCCTCTGTCCTCTATTGATACAAAACCGAATGCCTTTATGTCCTTTATTTTTCTCTTGAAGAGAAAAGAAAAAAATAGAGGTTTTTGTATCAATAGAGGACAGAGGACAGAGTAGCAGAAAACCAGAACATCCTCTATGATGGCCACCCTAGGAACAGCACAGGCTAAGCTGGTATTGATCTGAGATCTTAAAAGTAGGCAGTTACACGGGTTTGGTTTCGTCACAGAGTTCACAGGGCAAGTGAGTGCACACATCCCCCTGAGCGCTATCTGCAATGCAAATGCCATATTCTCAGAATCCTCTAACACATGTCCTTGTAGGGGTAGCTTGACTATGCATTTTATGTTTCTCCTTATGAAAATTTCTATTGCATAAGAACATTCTCATTTTGTAAATGGCATTTCTTATAGCTCTACACCTTTTTAAGGCACTTTGGGCTATAGCGTTTAGATGCTATTACACGAAAAAGAAAAATCTGTTTTCACAAAAAAAATTCCAAAGGGAGTAAAAATCAAGTGGCATTTTTAGTATAATTTGTAAAGGATGTTTACTAATGCTACTGTATTTAATGACAGTTTGACAAACCTTGGATTTGAAGTCAAATGCTTTGATGACCTAAAAGTAGAAGAAGTGTTGCAGAACATTTCTGAAGGTAGGGAACTGTATACGTCTCTTTCTATCTACAGGAGATATTCTATGTTTGATTTCCTCCATCATGGTTAAAGTTCACTTTAACCTACAATGCTGGCTTTCGGTGAAGAAGTCCTATTATATATTCTTTTGTACTAATTGGAGCTGCTTCTTCATTTCATAAATATTTCATATTGAAATAACCAAGATGTCTCTGTGACTGACAAAAATTAGTACTAAGGACTAGATCCTAGGTGGTACCTAAATGAGATACTTTCTGCCCTACTTAAAACCCTGAAAAAAGAGATAGCAAAAGGTAGCTTAGTGCTTCTGCTTGCTGCTTTGGGTGTTTGAGACCCCTTTCTGTTGGGGTTCATACACATTCTAAATACTGCTTCTCTCTTTCAGTGTCAGTGGATGACCACAGTGATGCAGACTGCTTTGTGTGTGTGTTCCTAAGCCATGGTGAAGATGATCATGTGTATGCCTATGATGCTAAAATTAAAATTCAGATGATGACAAACATGTTCCGAGGAGACAAATGCCCAAGCCTAGTAGGAAAACCTAAGATATTTATAATTCAGGTAAGATACCTGTTCTTGAATCATACCTGTTCTTGCACCATTCTTACTATGATACAGAAGTCAGTTCTTTTTTAATTTTCTTCTATGTAAAAGGTGACAGTTGTATATCCTGGAATAAACTTCACTAATTTGAGCATTAAAATCTGCTCAAATAAAGACCAGGCAACATAAATGACCAATCAGCAGCAAAGAAGACATTACCATCGGTTTTTGGAGGTGCAGGTGGCCTCCACCTTGTTTCTGCTTGCTTGTTGCTATCTTCTGCCAGGTTTAGGAAGGGCGAAGACTGAATGGGAAAAGTCCACTAACTCTATCTACACGCCTACATGGTTCCCTCCCAGGCTTGTTTGAGATATGAATGGAGTTTGTTCTGCTCTAATCTTTGTTTAAAATTTCATTGCATAAAACAATGAATTTGAGCCCTGTAGTACATTGGCTTCTGGCCTCTTAGTACAAGAAACCTGCAACCTCATGTTGCACTAAGATGGGGTTGGAATTGGTAAATGTAACTTTAATAAGTGGCAGTGGCTAGGACCTGCCAGGAGACTGATTGCAGCAGTCCTGGCTTCAGCTCAAAGTTGCCATTCCTGTGGTAGAACCATTTAAAAAACTTTCCTTTTCTAGGTGTGAAACCTCCTTCAGGCACAGAGGCTCTCCCTGAAGCAAACTGCCTGTTATTTCATCTTAAAGATAAGCTCCATTTTGGATTTTATAGAGTAAAGGAAAGGCCAGCAAGCATGGGTAAAACCTGGCTCCTCAACTGGATGATCCAAATAGAAGGTTTTGCCACTATAGACTCACCCATAAAGCAAACTAGACACTTGAAATAAACTGTGTAATTGATTTTAGGGTAAGAATTAACTTACAGCTCAAAAACATCAATACTGTGCTGTTCCACCTCCTTTTGAAATAGTGTAGACTTCGGTGATGAAATTTTGTTTTGGCTCCACAGGCTGGTTCTGGCCTGTGGGCCATAGGTTGCCAACCTGCCTGAGAGTTTCCTCCTCTTGCCCTTTTACTTAGGCCCTTCTGCTTCACTGACAGTACCAGCATCTTTTGCTGGCTTCTCCCATGGGGGTGTACATGTTCATTCAATCTGCTCCTTACCCATCAAAAACTCCCGTGAAAACACACTACATTACTCTTAGTAAAACTTTGAGAATAACCAAGTGTGGTGTCCACTGTGTTTTGATACTCAGTTGACACTGCTGACAGTTAACCAGCCTGTCCTAACAATGAAAGTCTCTGGTATGTACAAAATAGAATAAAGGTCATTATTCCTGAATTCATGGTTGTGAGCAAGAACCACTTTGGGAAATGAGAGAGACTACTCTTGAGTTGTTTTGTAATAGCTTAGATTTACTTTGCAGATGTTAAGATCTAACTTTTTCCCCACTATTAGGCATGTCGTGGAGATAAACACGATGAGGCAGTTTATGTTCAGGATGCAGTGGACTATACTTTAGAAGAGTCAGAGAACAACATAACTGAAGTAGATGCAGCTGGTGTCTATACATTACCTGCTGGTGCAGACTTTCTAATGTGCTACTCTGTTGCTGAAGGTAAAGCATTATTTTGCATTTAAATTTCTAGAATTCATTTGTGGGTGTCTTACACCTGTATCAGTGCAACTTTACTGAATGTAGTAACTTTCCAGAGTTTCTTCACTCCTGCAGCCAGTAGAGCTCACTAGCTGGCTGCTTTCTACATCTGCATTGTTGGCACTGTACCTGTCAGACAGTGGCAAAATAATTAAATATGTCCATTTGAAAAGTAGTTTGTATTATAAAATATTCCAGTTGTATCCTGGCCACTGAGCTACCTCAGCAGCAAATGTTCTTTAGCATTTCTGGACTCATGTGATTTTTTTTTTTTTTTTTTTTTTTTTTTAAGCTCCCACACATTTGTCTGGATGCTCTCAGTGATAATCAATGCATTATTGTCCCAGTTCCATCTGCTCTGCTGTAATTCAGTAGTGAGTGAACTTAAAAAGCTTTCTGCTATAGGATCAGTGTTCCACTCAGCTAAACTTTTCAATCATTTACAAAGCATGAAGAATGAATAATACAATATTCTTATTGGAACACCACTGAAATCACTCTTGACAGAAATAGAATACCATTGACTAATAATTTCAGAGCTGAATTTTTTTTTAATATGCAGATTTTCCAAGTTGCTGTTTTCATCTCTGAGACTTAAGTATCCAACATCACGTAAGACAGGCAGAGGTGTATATTTAAAATATATTCATATAGTCTATAAGAAAAGCCATGAATAATGAGTCCTGAATCCTGAATGTGGTGTTGGTTGACATTTTTAGTCTTATTAAAATTAAGCGCAGTCCTGTGTGTTTGTTCTGCAATAGGTTACTATTCTCATCGTGAAACTATAAATGGTTCCTGGTACATTCAAGACTTATGTGAGATGGTGCGACATTATGGTTCGTCCTTGGAGTTCACGGAACTTCTCACTCTGGTTAACAGGAAAGTATCTCATCGCAAAGTAGATATGTGCAGAGACCATAGTGCAGTAGGCAAGAAGCAGATTCCTTGTTTTGCTTCCATGCTGACTAGAAAGTTGTACTTTCCTCCAAAATCCAAGTAGAGATGTGTAGCAGTGAGAGCTACATCTCATTTCATAGTTTACTCCAAAACATGAAAAATATTTCTTCTTGTTAATCTTAATTTACACTGGGTGAACGGTTATACTGTTTTTCACTGCAGTTACAGAACTGCACAGTTATTGAAACTAGGGGTGCACTGATAAAGATTTCCTTGACCAGTACCAATAGTTGATAATTAACCAGCCATACTGGCCGATGCCCATCCGATAACCGATATTTAGTAATAGTGCAAGGCATTTTAAACTATTGACATAAATAAACTGTAACAGGTTGCCCTCCCCAGTGCCATCTTCCTGGTCATCTGCATCTTATGTGGGGCACCCTTGAAGCCCTCTTGGAATTCTTCTGTCCCGCCCTAATCTCTCCTGCCACGTCTTGATGGAAATTATTATGTGAGCAGGAGACTGCCTATTATATTGGATACGTTGGGGTCTCTCCTAGGATGGCCTGACGCCTTTTTCTCTAGCTAGGCCTCCCCATCCAAACCCACCACACAGGTTCGACTCTGAGGCTCTAGCTTTTCCTTCTAGTGCCTGGAGGCTCGTGGCCCCCTTTTCTGCTCCCTTCTGGAGCATGGCACTCCCTGGCCCAGAGGCACAGGTGCCAGCCCCACAACGAGGGGGGCCGCAAGTTCAAAACCAGCATGTGACCCCACCAGTCCAAACAAAACAAAACAATATACCTGCACCCACCCCCCAGGTGCACCAGGCCTCCCCGGCCTTTTTAAGATTGTCCCTTGAGCGCTGGGGTTTGTGTCGTCCCAAGCTTCACCCTTACTGGCTCTCGGGCTTTCCGCAGCCCTGTCGCACTCTGCGTCTCACTGGTGCCGGGGCTGTGCCCCCCCCCACAAAAGCTGTGCCTTCACTGGCACAGGGGCTTCCACTCCGGAGTGGGTCCCCAAAAATGAGGCCTCCTCCAATAATAGCCTCACCCAAACCTCCGGTATTATTCAATAATCACAAAATAATAAGAATAATAATAATAAGAATAACTGCACGTGCTTAATCAACGCAGCGGGTCAGCTTACATGAACTCTCTGAGTCTTGGCTCTGCGCCTCCCGCTACAGTCCTGGTTGCGGACGCAGTCGTCATCTCACAGGGGCTTCCATAGCTTCCCCCTTCCTACCATGGACCGCTCCCCAGACTTCTTCCTGGAGCTCTCAGAGGCACTGCTTCCCCTTCGGCTGCTGACCCCCTTTTAAAGCCATTCAACCCAGGGTTTTTATAGTCCTGCCTCTTCCGGTCAGCTGACTAGCCGTCCCAGTTCAGCAGTTAATCCCTTCCTCACCAGCCCTCCGTGCCCAGAAGGTTCTGGCCTTATGGGGGCGCACCTTCTTCCTCGTGACAGGGTCAGGGTTCCCTGTCACACAAACCATTTTTGTTTGTTTTGCATTTTTAACACACATGCCTCCCTGCTTTGGCCCTTCATGAGGAAGGCGGTGACCACCTTATTTCCACACGTTGCCTCCTTGCCCATGGCTCCTACCCACAGCCCTGCTCCTGCACAGCCTGTGCTGCCATCCCAGGTAGGTTGGGCAGACTCTTGCACAGACAGTGGCGCTGAGCACATTCAGGGCCCGAGCACACCGCTGCCTCAGTGTTGGCGAGCCCCATGCAGCCGAGCTCCCACAGCTGCTGGGGAGAAACCGCTTTTGCAAAGGCATCCGGTGCTCAGCACAGTGGAGCATCCCTCACACGTGCCTTACCCTGCCCATGGGTATCCCAGTGCCTCTGCAGCAGCCCCAGCACTCAGGGCCCTACTGCGTGTGCAGCATTGCCATGGTAGCAGAAGTGGGAGCCAGTAACAGTCCTTTTGTTGCTGAGCACGGTGCCCTGGGACCGCTCCCCAGCACCGCGCCCCTCCCCCCCCAAACTGCTTGCTGTAGTCTGCGAGGGCTCAGGCCAGCAGCGGAGCACAGGGACCAGACTTGCACTCGCCATGGTGCTCCAGGCATGTGGCTGTAATTATTGGAAACAACAACCAAAAAAAAGCCAATAACATAATTTCTCCTTTTATTGGTGTGGATCCAATAGCCAACCAATATATCAGTGCACCCCTAATTGAAACCATGAATCTTCCTCTACAACAGCGATTCCCAATCTGTGGTACACATACCACCAATGGTATGCAGATAACTTGTCAGTGGTATGTGTTAGCAGATTATTAATCTGTTTAATAATCTGTGTAATTAATCATTACTTTATATGACAAAGATTTGCTGGTGGTACTTAATGTTGTATCATTTTAAATTGGTGCTGCGCAATCTGTCAGAGTTTGGGAACCACTGCTCTACAAGATGAATGTTGGGATCAGATTTCAGACTTAGCAAAGCAGTACTTTTTATAAATCATCATTGTAGCAATAGCAGTCTCAGGGAATTTGAAAACAATCGTTGTAATAATGACTTCCATATACTAATAGTGTGAGGCATTCAGATACTATGTAGATGGGAGCCATACGTTCCGAAGATGGAAATCAGTAAATCACTGTTTGGCTAGTGCTTGAATAGTTTCTTGTTGTCTACTTTTCTAATTATGATGCATTTTGTAATTTTTCACGGATTCTCAAAACTGCATTTGCTTTTTTTTTGCACTGACAGAACAGTTTCCTGAGAATGAAAGTAATGTTCATCTGTGGGAATTTTTCTGTATCTTCACAAATATTTTAATACATTTTACAGTGTATGTGCAGTTTGTTTTTCTAGGCTTCCAACTTGTATAATTTGTGATATGATTTGTGATACATCTACATTTTAAAAACAAGCTGTGTTTGGGCTCTTCCTTACTGGATTGGTACTTTATCCGTCAACATTAGACTGCAGCTGTAATCAGAAAAATGACTATATAATATAGATCTCCTTTCACTTACATGATAGCTGTATTCTTTTTACAACCCAGAGAAGACTAATTTCAAATTATATTCTTTTTATAATCCAAGCCAACCCCTCCCCCACAATTTCCTGTGCCTTTTCTTCAGATAAGAGTAACAAAAAGATTGCAATCTGAAGTTACTTGAAAACAATGCTGAGTAGACTTGTCAGCTTCTTAGGGTAAGTTAACCTGCACTGAGCTCCATTTCTGATGCCTGAATTAGCTCAGTTAAAAGGTGATTTAAGTAACTTGACAGTCTCCAGTGGAAACATTACTTTAGAAATATGGAAGTCTTCAGTGATCAAATATTGATATCTACTCTGCTTGATTATAATTTTTTCCCTGACAGTGTGTCAGTAAATTTGAAAGCCTCCTATTCTAATATACTGTCATGCATGCCAGTCTTATTTCAGAAACAGCATTATCTGTTTAGAGTCGGGCTTCTCAGGGAACTAGGTACCAATATGTTCTTTAGTAGGCCTGTGTGAATAGGGAAGTATTCGATTTGGATTCAGCTGATTCGGAGAACAGTGATGAGATTTGGATCACTGTCCTGAATCGATTCAGTTGAATCGGCTTCAGAAGATTCAGCGCTGATTCGAGGAGATTTAGATTGGCCAGGGAGAGGCAGGCACAGCTGGGCAGCTGCAGGTTCTCCTGTGGCTCCTTCAGCTGTGCCAGGCTCCGGGTGACTACTGGAGCTGCCCAGGCTCCCAGACAGCGTGTGGCACCCTGCCGAGCCACGCTGCACCTGTGCCATGAGGGGGCTCTGCCACAAGCCCTCAGAGACCCTGATCACCGCTGCCAAAGCCGGTGAGTGCGGGCCTTTTTTACACAGTGCCAAGAGGCTGGGCTGGGCTGGGCAGGGGATGGGGCCAGGCGGGGTAGCCATGGGGGCTTCTCCCGTGGCTCCTCTGGCTGTGCCTGCCTCTGCCTTGGCAGGGAGAGCTGCAGGAGCTCTGCCCTGCTGCCGCTTTCCCAGCCGGTGCTGGAGGGGGAGAGGGGGCGCAATGCAGGTGTGACTCTCTTCGGGTAGCAGCAGGGCATAGCCCCCACTCCCAGTGCTACCGTGCCCACATCAGTGCTGGGAGCGGGTGCTCTGCTCTGTCCCCGCTTGCCAGCCAGTGCGGGGGGTGGTGAGATGCTGCTGCAGCAGCCCTGGGAGCGGGGACTCTGCCCTGCTGCTGCTTGCCCGCCTCTGCCTTGAGCGCGCCGCGCCCGCATCCTGTGGCCCCCCGCCTCCCTCCCCAGCTGGGCAGCTTGTCCCAGTCCCAATCCCTCCCTCCCCCATGTGCCTTCCCTCCTCCAACCCCAACAGACTTACCAGCTGGAGGCAGCTGTTTCAGCTGCCTGTTTAGTCTATGGCTGAATCTCTGAAGCAGCCCAGTCTTTTCCGAATTAATTTGGATGCTTCAAATTGATTCAGAGCTTTTAATTGGTCTCCCAATTCAATTTGGATTTGGTCCCTGAATTGGGCTGAATCACCTCCAAATCGAATTGGCTACCAAAGCTTCGCACAGCCCTATTCTTTAGCTGCCAAAAGATGAGCATGCATGTCAAGGTTAATATTAATACACAATACAGACTGACTGAGGAAAATAGCAGATGGTAGAAACATTGGGTTGTTTTTTTTTATCCCAATATCAGTTTAGAGGCAGGCTATTTATGGGGTGACTTAAGATTTTCATTTTAAATATTAATTTTTATCACACAAATCAGAAGGAAGGTTGTTAAACATACTAGTGATTTGGATTATCTGTTTCATTAAAATGCAGTTTCAAGAGCGGCTTGATATTAAACTGACCCATACCTTTATTTTAATAGTTACTTTTCTAAAACCCAGTTGTGATTATGTAACTTAATCTGAAGGTCAGTATCCTAAGTCTGTAGGCACAGGATTTCATGCCTGAGCCTTTGTCAGGTAGGGTAGCACTGTTGTTAAAAGTTGGATCCAGAGAGAGGGAAACAGATCCTCATTTTCTTTAAGCCTAGTGCTGATGCTGTCAAATAAGATTCTAAATTATCCTTTGGCTGCCTTAATTTGGGGGGATATTACTTACCCCCTTTCATAAATAGTAAGAGATTCTGAAGAAAAGGTGTCAGAGGATATATAGGAGCCAGTAGCATAGCACTGAGAACTATTTTTTGGCCCTGATTCATGACTAAAGCACTAAATTTAAACTCCACACCTATTTAAGCAAGAATTTAGGGACTCACCTGAATAATGACCTTAGAAAACCTGCTAACCTATAAAATTACTTTACTATAAATGCCAAGATGGTTTTATGGCATGTGTACCTAATTACTTGAGCTACTAATCTGCTGAAGCTAATTAAAAAAGGTCAGAAGTCCTTCCCAAGTTTAAGAGACCACTGGGGCTAGCCTGGTTAAGGTACACCAATTTCTGTAGCCAGCAGTACACAAGGACATGATGTGGCTATCATCATGTCTGGGCACCTTTGACCTCACACTTTGAACAACCAGGGACCTGTTAATAATTGCATTAGCTGGTGGCATCTTTAGGCACAAATCCAGAGTAGGGCTCATTCTTATAGCTATGAAATCATAATAACATGGTTTAACCACTCTGCTCTAGGCCTGTAACATAGCAAATAGTCCTAGCAAAAAACTAAAAGCTAGAACACCGTTGTGACCTAGCGCACATCAGTTCACTAAAATGGACATGATCCTTCAAAATGTGTACTAGAGTTCATGTTAAGTTTCTTTGTTGTTTTGGGAATTTCCTTACATGATTATAAAAAAAACCCCTCAACCATCTAATAGTCTCAACAACATTTATTGTAATTTTCAAAACTATAGTGGTCAAAAATATCCAGTTTTCCCATTCTGTAAAACTAAAGGTTTTAATCAATTCTGGAAGGGCATTCAGTTATATTAAAAAAAGAAAAGAGAGAGAGAAACGCCTGTTAGTCTTTGTCATGTATTTCCTGGATTGGAAGACGCAGGTGTAGGGGCTGACGCAGGCGTCTCAGGGATTCTTCAGCCTGTGAACACAAGAGAGAATTAAACAGATGTATTTCTTCCCTGCATTAATTCCTTCATTATTCCTTATTTTCAGCATCACTTTTTCCTAGCCAGGGCTCTGCTTTCCCAGATGCTAACCGTATGACAGATTTTTCTATTAGAATGACAAATGTATTCTCCTGATCCTAATACTCTTAAGAAGCCATTCCCACACAGACTGACCAACAGAAAGTGTGCTTAGATAGATGCAACCAGTATCCTTCTAGGAGACTGAACATATATCTTCTGCACCATGCTCTCTCACCTTTAGCCGGTGAAGTGAAGCCCATTTTTTCCAACAACTGGACAGAAAATGACACTTTACAGCATGTAAGAACACAGTTGCAAAATTCTCCCCACAGAAGGGTACTGTCAAGTAGTAAAAATATCTTAATCTGTAGCCCAGATAAGAGTTGTTTTCATCTTACCCTGTTATCTATTAATGAATGAATTTGATTGCTTTTTAAAAAATTGGTTTTAATGTGGTTAAATTTTTTTCTTAGGTGTGCAGCACATGTAACAACCTCATTTGAAGCAACAGTAACAATCTGAACATGCTAATTTTTTGGGAACGAGACAGAATTCTGGTTTCCATCCAAAAACAACTTTGAAACAAATTTGTTACAAACTACAAATCTAAGAAATAAGAATTTAATTTCTTTTCTCACACAATAAAACGTGAAAACTAAACATCTGAATAAATATAGATAAGTAATTGCATAGGTTAACATGCCTCATTCTAGAGCATCTTCCTGCCTAGCAGGAATACCAGATATAGTGGAAAGGCTTTATTTAATTGCAAACCAAAAAGAAAAAAAAATAAGGAAATAACTGCTAAGTACAAATGTTAAAGACGATAAATTATTTAAACTGGGGTTTTTGCATGCTGCCTTTATTCAGTCTTCCTCTGAAAATGTGTAAATTACATCTAGAAGCTACTTTCTACTTAGCTCATGGTTTAGTAAGGATTCTTAAATGGTGGAACAACAATGGCATTGACTGACCACAAGGTATGCACGTACCTCTGCCAGATCCTCTTTTAATTTGTTATATTGCTCCACATCGAAATACTGGCTTTTGGATTTCCTGTAGAAGCAGTGAAGGAATTGACGGTCTTTAACATCTGGGTAAACATAGTCCTGAGGTAAAGAAAAAAACGATGCAAGTGTTTGAGTGTATGGAGGTTGGTAGAGAGAAATATTAAGATGCAGGCAAGTTTTATTATTGAGATCATTTTTTTGTATGAAGATAATCAAGTTAAAATGCCCTCACAATCCTAGAGAAGTTAGAAAAAATTAAACTACAACAAGTATGTGGCCTGATTTTAGGAGTGCTGAGTACCAATAGCTGCCATTGGAGTCAGAAGGTGGGATTTTCAAAGGTGCTGGAGGGAGCTGGGCTCAGAGCTCCTTAAGGTTCTTGTGAACATCCCAGACGAGGCTAAGCACTAATGAAAATCAGACTGGTAGCATCTACAGTGGCTTACCCAGAGAAGAGAAGTATGTTTTCCTTTCTGAGCGTCAACAGAAAGGGAAGGGGGTTAGAACTTTCAGTCAAAACCAGCTGAGCAACAACATGTTTCTTCTTACCACAAGACCCTGCCATTTCACATGTTTTGCATATTCCATCAGTAACCCAAGATGCAAGCAAGTGTTGGATATTCTCCAATTGTTTCCACACCCAACAACAAAAAACTACTGCATTATTGAATATACAGAATCAAAAGGAAGATTTGTGATCCACTGTAGAGGCCCAGACATAAAAGAGAAACAAAAAGGTTTTTTAAAGCTTGATGACTATTGTCCATATTCTACAGCTTGTCCAAGTTCTGGGTTTTTGCTGTTTAAGAACACTTCCCCAGTCCTCCAGCCATCCCTCATTACAATTCCACTGATTTCTCCTCTCCATATCCAAAAGCAGTAAAAATAGGTGGGCCACAAAGGGAGAAAAAAAATGCAACATGCTCAAGTAGATGTGTTTCAATGGAAACACCTGAAAATTTCCAAACACTTCGACTTCCCAGATCAAAAGACGAACTTCAGCAAAAAGATTAGCTTTTTTGGCATCATTACCAGACTATACCCCTTTAGTAGGTTAGTGTGCTCACTACACATTCTGTAGCAAAGTTTGAAATACAATCACTACCCAGGCCAAGTACCAGGAGTCAAAGAAAATGGACAAGGCAGTTCTTATTCTCACTGTAACATCATTAAATGTAATCATGATCAGACCAAAGTTTTTAAAACAGTTCAGATCAGGACCTGACCCTTGAGGAACAGGAAGTATCACACAGCTGAAAAAAACCCTCTGTTGTTATCCAGATATCCAGGTGTTTGTGCCAAACTTATGTTGAACCAGAAATTGAACCTGAATACAATTCTATACAACAGAGGTACTGGGTTCGAGGTTTGGTCTTCACAATAAATCTTCCATGTAGTATTAATTCAGATGTATTCATATAATGGGATTTACCTGCTTAGTAAGTACAAAGTAAGCATAGAAGGCCATGGCACTCCCATAAGTGATGAAGTATGTGACTGGCTCCATTATATCCCAGGAATAGACCCACCATGTGAGCCAGGCCAGGGCTCCACCCTGAGTGGACATTAGTGCTAAGCCAATCCACAAGAGCCTTGAGGTCCTTGCATCTGCACTTTTTGTGATTCTGGCTTTCATCTAAGGGGAAAAAGAAAGATATTTGTCCAACTAGAACATCACCATCGTAATGAATCTGTTGTTCTGAAACAAAGGGGAGAACACATTCTAATAACTCCTCTCCCACTGTATTCAGAACTCATCTGTTAGGCTAAATGCAGACAGTCAAAAAGCATAAGGCTAAATTGATTCAGTCTTCACAGATTCATCTAAGCTGCAGACTGAACCAATAAGCAAGTGAACAGATATTCACTTTTGATTCTGGAAATGCAGCCACATGCCTGCAGTGGCCCAGGCCAGAAGCCAGGGGATGCTAAAGCACATCTCCCAGCTCAGCTGGAGCAGACAGTGTGGACCCTGCAAGGGAGGGCTGAGGGGAGGGGGAGGTACAAAGCAGCCTGGGATGCTAGGGGACTGTGACAATTTGAATCTGGAGGGGATCTGGGACATAAGTTCAATAAATTGATTTAACCTAAATCAGTTAAGTCTGATGCTACATCCCATCCAGGTTTATCATACAGTGGTTTGAGCCATTTTGAAAGCAGTTTATGTGCACTCAGCTTCGGTTGTGTTACAGATTTGAACCAGTTTCTCATCACTTATAATGGTTTATGTGTAATTTCTGTCCCTAGCCTTCCCTAGACTTAAAGACTTTACCTGCTCAGAGAGAATTTGGTTTATTGTGGGCATGTCTACTAGGCCTGTGTGAAGCACCTAGTATTCGCTTTGGATTCGGCCGATTCGGAGGACAGTGATTTGGTTCAGTGATTCGAATCACTGTCTCAAATTGATTCAGCCGAATCTGATTTGGAGATTTGGCCCCTGCCGAATCTCTAAATCAAACAGGCCCCATCCCCCGCCCACTCTCCTAGTCCCGTCAATGGCTGCCCCCGCCTGGCCCCAGTGTCCTGACTCTTTAAAAAAAAAAAAAAAAAAAAAAAAAAAAGCCCTACACTCACTGGCTGCTGCCAGGCAGGGGTGCGATCCTCGCTGCCTCCCACTGCATGGGGGGGCTCTGCTACGAGCCCCCAGAAGCCCTGACCGCCACTGCAGCAGCTGGTGAATGCAGGGGTT